TGCCACAAGCAGCCCTCTGCCCATTTACTGCCAAACCCAGAACACCACGTTCATTTCTCTGAGTCTGCCTTGCATACGTACATGTCCACGGCATTTCGGGTGCGCTGCAGGAATCTCACTCAATTCCGTATCTGGATGCCGCTCGTTACAACCTTTTTTCAGCGGAGCAAAATCCTGAAAAGCAGAACATGTCCATTTCATCCAAGTCTACTCCCAGCAGCCATGGTTGGGAGGCTGGAAGATGTGGAAAACTGAACACATCAAAATAAAAAATGAATAAATATATAAATAACTTTCAGCTGAAAAACTTGTTTATCCAAAATCCCCCATCACAAAATCTCCCATTCAGCTGAAAACCCTGTGTATCTTAATGACGTTTATGTCCCCCATCTTGCTTGCATACATAAACCTCCTTCTCTGTGCTGTGATGACAATCTAAGCTGAGTAGTCCAGGAGAAAAAAGGAAGTTGGCCATACAAACTTGTTTTGTTGGAGGGAAATGAAGCAAGAGAAGAGACCTGCCTTGGGCCACTGTGGTAACTTCCACTTCGCAGCATCTTCCATAGCAGGGTTACGGTTACATGACTGCCCAAGGGCCAAACCCTTGTGACAAGAGCCACTGAAGTCTAGTGAGGAAAGCAACCAAGATTTGACCCCCCCAAAAGTAGCTGTAACCTGATTCTCCATCACCCTGCACCCTATGTAGTCAATTCTGCCTGTGCAAAATGCTGTCAAGTGAGCGTAGAACGGTAGAGTTTTACACCTATTTTACACAGGTGTAAGGTTCACTGATTTCCACAGCAAAACTTGATCATTCTAAACAGTCCCATTGCAGGTGCTTAAGTGTTTTGCATAACAGAGATTGACTGGACATAAGTATGTAAATAAATAGGCCATGGAGAATCTGGAACCTATACTTCCTTCTTCTTACAGGCCAGATCCTGCAAAGTGCTGAGTGTTAATAACACAGCATAAGAACCTAGATAGGCTAAACTAGAATTTCCACTGATGTCTATAGGAGTTGAGGGCACTGTGTGTTTCTTCTGATCATCTCCATTCTAGTCCACCTCACCCATGGTCATTATCCAGAGACCTTGAGTTCAGTTGACAATGGTGTGCAACAGAAAGGAACGGATTTCAGTTGTTCACATGACCAGGCTGTATCTGCAGGGTTGGCAGGTGGAAAGAGCCTGGTTAGACGGAACGCATTTTACTGTGGAAATCAGCAAGAGAATAATTATGGGAGCCTGTTTGTACAGAAAGAACGAGGAGTACTTGTGGCACGTTAGAGACTAACATATTTATTTAAGCATAAGCTTTCGTGGGCTAGCCTCGTTCTTTTTGCTGATACAGACTAACATGGCTACCACACTGAAACCTGTTTGTACAGAGGTTCTTTCCGGCCTGTAGTTTCCCTACCAAGGAGGCAGTGGGCTGGGAGGTAACACAACAGTTCCAATAAGCCCTCTCTTTGTTGCATAATTTCCTTCCATAATCATCTCAGAGTGTGAAGCTTCTTTTTTAATTTTGATCTTTCAGATGTAGTCGCAGTCACACCCCAGAAGGAGAAGTCTGGTTTCCTCTGTCACAGTTTAACCCATCGGGTGCTGTCACGTTCTAGTAAAATAAATCAGCCTTGTCATTTCCTATAAGACGCTCAAAGAAGGTGCAATAAAACAACCGGGAGAAAGATCAGTGAGCACAGCGTGGGCTCCAACTGAACCAAACTGTGTTCTCCCCTCAGCAGACCTTTCCAAGACATACTACTTCAAAATACACCACTGCAGATTCTGAAACCTGTTCTGCTTTATTCCCTAATCCGTTCCAAGAAATTCCCTCTTCACATCCGTGATATTAGGGTACTGCAAGACTTGTGGCCTTGTGCAGTGTATCCTAGTAGCTTTCACAAGCTGAGCAGGGTTACTGTTTAAATGGGAGCCCTGACAAGAGTCTCATCGTGCTAGTTAGTCAGTAGCTGGCCATTTTTGGTCTGAGTCAGTACTGAACTGATGCCCTAATGTGCAGCTAAGGAGCACCCTCTGCTGCAAGAAGCACGTTTTTTCAGAAGAAATGAATAATTGAGGTCCCAACACTAAAGCTCCTAGGGCAATTTTTGTTAGAACCGTGGTGTTAGCCCCACTGTCCCAGCCAAATTATAACTTAGATTACATTCTGCGTCCTTAATTTTCCTTGCATGATGGCATTCTCCTCGGCTTCCTGTCTTATGTAGTTGCATAACGTTGTTAAGCACCTGCGGCATTTCCCCCCCGAGATGGCTGCCTTTCAAAAGTAGAAGAAGTGATTTCTGTATAGAATTAGTAAACAGCATGTTGTCTTCTGGATGAAAGGTGCTGTATATGACAAATGTTATGGGTCAGGCTAAACCCTGATATTATGGGTGGGGTGTAACTGCCACCTTGCATTCAGGATAAATATAAAGAAGCCATTGTAAACAGGTGACTGAAACGGTTAAGCAGCCTCCGCCTCAAACACTGACCAATGTCTCCAGTCAAAACAAAGCCATTATAGCCATTCAAAATGCAGCTGCAAAAATCTTTCTCCCAAACTGCTCCTTCTGCATGAGAGGCGCTCACTATGAAAAACTGCAAAGTAACCACATTGGCCTCTTTTAAACCAACCTACGCTGCTAAATACTTAATGCTTGGTAACAGTTAGGCTGCTGAAGTTCTGTGACGGCTGCTAATTACATAGTCCTTAGACATAATCATAACTGCCTCATTATTTGCATGGCCTCCCTCCAGCTGTTTGTTATATTAAACTGTTGTCTCGGCTTAGTCTTAGATCGGCTCTACACTTAAAATTTACATTGACATAACTACATTGCTCAGGGATGTGAAAAATCCACACCCCTGGACAATGTAACGATGTAGGTATGCAGGCCTAACTCCAGGTGTAGACACAGCTACCCTCGCTCAGGGAGGTGGTGGTCCTACAGTGGAAAAGCCCCTTATGTCACTGTAGGCTGTGTCTGCACTACAAGGTTGTCAGTATAGCTGCAGCACTGTACCTATGCCTCTATAGTCCCTGTAGTATAGACGTGGCCTTAGATAGCGAGGGGCAATTTTTTGTTCTATGCATGCACAATACCTAGTATCCTGGGTCCCTCATATTTGCTCAGTGGCCCAGAGAGACGGTATCTGCAACGGGTACTAGCCTAATACAAACAATGAATAATAACAGTAATATCTTTTTGGGGGAGTGGATGGTAGAAAAAGTAGTCTAATGATGCCATCTACCGGGGAAGTGGAAAATTTGCTTTAATTCTGGATTAATTTACAGATTAAAGGGAGGACAAAAACGGAAACTGATTTATTATTTTTGTGTCGACAACTCCCCCAGCTGGACACTCTATTCCCGAACAAAAGTGACTTTATTCCAGAATAATTACTCGCTTTGGAAGTAATTATTTGGGAGTAATTACTCTGTAATTAAATCACTTTTATTCAAGAAAAGAATATCCACATGGGGAATTAGTCCAGATTAGCTACATTAGAGCAGAATTGTTATTCCGGCATAGCGGAATGACTACTGTGGAACAGCCAAGTGAAGTCAATTTCCCTGTGCAGACAAGCCTTGGGG